GATTATTGTTTTGAAACTGCTACACGTCCGATCATCAAGTTTAAGGTGTCGTTGGATAGGTCGTGACATGTAAATTTGCCATAAAACAAAACACATTTGAAATTCCATCAGGGCTCTGCCCCAGTGGCCTTCAGCAAATTGAAAGCGTCAATATACGTGATTCAATTTATTTCATATCACGGACGATTACTTAATCCCACACATTAGAAATGACCAAATAAATGTAAAAATATATGGTATCAGCATTCTGAAACATACTTTCTCCCATAAGCTTGTTAACATCCTATATCATGGGAAAGCGGTGATAGTATATAGTTCAAAATCTTAAAAGCTGAAATAACTTTTGGACCACAATTGTTACAGCAATGGGGTGTTGTACTATTTTTATAAAACATCTTTTGTTCATGTTTATAATCCATACCGGGTCTCTTCTAGTATTCGTGGTCTAATCACAGAATACCGATAATTTCACCCGAATTACCTTTTGAATTCAAGTGAATAAAATTTTCTTTGCGTCTTGCTTTCGCAATCACCATTATAAAATGGAACAAGACTATCCCTGACTATCGCCGGTTTAAATGTATAAAATGCATGCTTTTCACACGTATGTTGTGTGCGCACGTGGTGGTAGGTGCGCATAAAAACTTATATATATATATTTATACGCCTAATGAAAAAAAAAAAATAATCACTGGTAATTAAGTAAAATAACTATTCTATTTTTGTTTTTGGTATACGTTTTTATCATCTCATATTAATACGCGAGGACTGTGTTTTGTGAACACTACTCCTCCCTTATTTGTGGACAAATTACAACGTTTAAGGTGTTGGTGTTAAAGGATTCGGACCAATTCGTAGTTTTGCATTAAGGTTTTAGAATTTAAAAGTTCCTACCCTTAAGGGCGTGAGACCCTTTCAAATGTCGGGTTTTCACCATGTTAATAATTGTATTACCTATCAATCTTTCTTCCAAAAATAAACTAAAATGTCCAGAAATGCTATTGAGTTAGGTACATTAACTTTCTCTAAATTAACTGAATCGGGTCTGACTTAGGGGAGGTACGAATGAGGCATTTAGTTCAAAATTCCTCCGCGAACAGCGCTGTAGTAGAGAGCACTTTGTCAATGAAGGTTTACTATTCGCAAAAATAGTTCTGTTCATAAAATAAAATTATAAATGCCTCAAATTCAATTTTATAATTTTTTAATTATAAAATTAAACTATCATAACCTAACCGAACTAACCAAACTTGCTGATAATTAAATAATATAAAAAGATTAGTAATAGAAAAAATAATTATGTTTATTAAATAAAACTAGAAATTGCTCAATTAAAATTTTATAATGACTTAATAATAAAATTAAACTGTCATAACCGAACCAAACCAACCAAACTTGCTGATAATGAAAAAATCTGAGACAAAAAGTTACTGCAACCAGCGAGATTCGAACCCGGGACCTCTTGCACGCCAGCCCGACACGCTAACCACTAGACCACCGAAGCCGATGTCCACAAATCGAAATCGTATTGTTACGGTAATAGCGTTCCCTCAGCTAATAAGAAGCCCACAGCTGTCATCGTAGCCTCTTCCGTACCTCCCCTGAGTAAATACCAACTGCATCAAAGTACAATATATTTAATGCTACAGAATATAAATCCAACCGATTTATTTATTGATAAATCAAACCGCGAGGTGGTGGGTTGTTGAGGTGGCACGTTGTCGCATATGATCGAGGTGGCGCGTTGACGGCACCGAACACTGAGCGTACACGTCAACCCGCCACCTCGTAAAAGAGTGGTGGCGGGTTGACGGGGTGGCACGTTGTCGCCTACGTACGAGGTGGCGGGTTGCCGACATCGAACATGGAGCTTCACGACAACCCGCCACCTCTGATAAACACTTGTGTTGGCGGGTTGTCGTGGTGGCATGTTGTCGTGGTGGCTCATTGACTTGAGTGTGTACGACAACCCGCCACCTCGGAAAATTGTGTGGTGGTGGGTTGTCGTGGTGGACTGTTGTCGAGGTGGCGGGTTGACCTGTACGTACACGTCAACCCACCACCTCGGTTTTTTTGTGGTGGCGGGTTGACGCCTCTGACCAAAACACCGAGGTGGCGGTTTGACGTGGTGGCGCATTGACAGCGACCCTCAGGATAGTACTGCGGATCGTCGTATTACTCACCCGTGCGGACGTTAATCCACACTAGGGAGTATCGCGTCCACAGTGCATGCCTATAAATATCCACAATTCGTGACCTCCTAGTAGCTGGATTACAGGACGACGCCACCCGGTCCAGGTCTTACCATGAGACCTACGGTGATAGCTTTTTCCTTATATGGAAAATTAACAATAAATAATATATACATAATACCATTTAAAAAACTTAAAACTTACATTGTACAAACCCAATGTTTTGAACGACAATATATCAAAGCAATTCCATTACTATTCATTCTTTGGTATGAGATATTTTAAGTAGAATCGTAGATAAAACATAGTATGTTTTATCAATGGTAGAATTTACAGAATCTGAAATATTATTAGGGAAGTTTGGAATTCAGATGGTCAACATAGTCAATTTCAACATACACCATCCACAGTTGACTTTGTCTGTCTACGCTAAGAGATTCCGATCCGACCTTGTCCTTGTAGGACAAAAACTTTTAAAACTTGCAACTTTTAACAGTGCCAACGAATAAATTCCACAATCTAAACGCTTTTATAACAGATATATATCATCCTTATGGATCATTGGAAACGATTTTACTTTTCGTTCCGGCTGGGTCTGGTTTCCATTGAGGATTTATTATTGACAAATATAATTATGTTTCTTGTCATTTACTTTCTACTGTATTTTAAAATCATACAAGTGAAGAACGATGAGAGTTTTCGTATATCGTTCCACAGTTTCATTTCAACATGCCACATGAACTCATCTTAGATTAACAATTCTCCCATAATTAATCTATGAAAGTGAAACCATACCACCACATAACATCGACCCTTCGCAGCCTCATGAGATGCAAAGCTAACCAACTACAACTGTTTATTTGTGACATTTAGAAAGAAAAAAAAACTCTAACTGCTGTGCTGAGCCCTGAGCATGAACTACTTTTTTGTAGTTCGTAGTCTTAGGCCGGGTCGCCGGAATTTTATCCCCCTGGAATTTTACCCCCTGGGCAAAGCTGACGTCACTATGACGTAGTAACCTGAGCGGCCAAAAGTTTGTTCGCGGCCGGAATTTTACCCCCGCGGATTTGGAAGTCTAATGAAAATAGTCAGAGCGTGATTAATTAGATTAGCGATGAAAACCGGAATTTTACCCCCTGTCCATATAACTAGCGTTTAGACAACTGAAGATGTACGGGCCGGATTTTTACCCCCGGAATTTTACCCCCGGATTTTTACCCCCTGGCCGATTTTAGAAATTGAATGATTGATTTTCTTATTTCTGTTTTTAATTAATTGTAAACATTTCATTATTTAGTAGCCTATCTTTATTTATTTTGTAATCTCAACTAAGTAAACAGAATTCGCAGTTTTATTTTGATCATATTAACAGTTGGCTTCAAAGATCGAATCCTGATACTCGAATCACAAAATTAAAATTAAAAAGCTGTTCGATTAGTTAATGTTACAAATAAATTAAGATAGGCTACTTAATAATAACATGTTTACTATTAAATTAAAACTGAATGAAGATAGTTAATCATTCTCACTAATTTATATATCTGACCAGGGGGTAAAATTCCGGGGGTAAAAATTCCGGGCCGTGCATTCTAGGTTTTTATAATTTGATGTGTTCTGATTAAATTCTCAACCGTGAAAATATATGTTTAATTCCGCGTTTAATCCATCGAGCTGATGTCGCAAAACTCAAAAGTTCGCGGCCGGAATTTTACCCCCTGGTTTGTGACGTCACGTTTGCCCAGGGGGTAAAATTCCAGTGGGATAAAAATCCGCTACCCCCTTAGGCCTAGTTAGTAGTTGCATGCAGTGTTGCAGTTGCAGTTTCTCTGTCAGGTTTCTGTACTGTTCAGTTGTTTTTTTCTTGGTTGCTCATTGCTTTGCTTGTAGCATAGGCTAACCAACACAAGGAGGGAGTATGTTTTATCTATGCTTGTAGTGCAGACTGCAGGCCCGCAGACCAGACCGTTTTTAAGTGGTATTTACTCAGGGGAGGTACAGATGAGCCTACGATGACAGCTGAGGGCTTCTTATTAGCTGAGGGAACACCATTACCGTAACAATGCAGATTGCGACCATCGGCTCCGGTTGGCAAGTGGTTAGCGTGCCGGGCTGATATGCTGAATGTCCCGGGTTCAAAACTCGCTGATAACATTTAACTTTTTGTCTAAGATTCTTTCATTATCAGCAAGTTTGGTTGGTTTGGTTCGGTTATGGCAGTTTAATTTTATTATTAAGTCGTTATAACATTTTAATTGAGCAATTTCTAGTTTTATTTAATGAACAGAATTATATTTTCTATTAGTAAACTTTTTTATATTATTTCATTATCAGCAAGTTTGGTTAGTTCGGTTAGGTTATGATAGTTTAATTTGATAATAAAAAAATTAAAAAATTAAATTTGAGTCATTTACAATTTTATTTTATGAACAGATTAACAGAACTATATTTGCAATTAGTAAACCTTCATTGCCAAAATGCTCTCTACTACAGCGCTGTTCACGGAGGAATTTTGAACTAATGCCTCAATCGTACCTCCCCTAATCAGAACAAATCATAGCTCATTGTCAACATTTATGTATGTAAATAACAAAATTAAAGTGTCAACACCATTCTCCTGATTATTATCAAATAAACTAAGAAAAAGACGGTTAACCACAAAAAGTGAACATTGGGGCCTCATGAATTTTAATCAAGGCCATCACATTTGTGACCCTTTTTAACTAAGTTAAAGCTGCAGCTAGCAGCTGTCAGTTCAGTTTGTTGTTGTTAATGTTTTGTCGACTTGTTGTCTTTTCTTGTTAATGATAGAATTGTTATAAAATCCCTATCATAGCCTTTTCCCTATAATGGCCTATCCCTAATTAGCCTATTAAAGGCTAATGCCATTATTTCTGGGTAATAACTATGGTAATAGGTACAGTAGGGCCTAATACTACTTTTGTTTAAGTGAGGTTAGCCCATCATAGCTCAGTGGTAGGACCAGGTATTGTTTAGCAGTTATTTATTATGTTAAAATTAAATTATTTAATGATACTGTAAATATTTACCGTTAATTTTTAGTGGTGGTATTCAAACATTATTTTGCTACAGTTACCTGACATAGCGGTCTTTCTTGTACTGATAATATCACAGGTAGACTTTCATCTGTTGTCAAAAAACAAGAATGAAAATGATAAATAGATTTTTTGACCTATCGATTATTTCATTTGATAAATGTTTGGTTGGTTAGGTCAGGTTAACCTAACCAACCAAACGACATATTGAATAAAGTAATCAAATAAAATAAGTTATCGATCAATATTATTATTCGGTTGTTTTTGACAACAGATATGAAAGTCTACCTTATATCTCGCAAAGTAGCTAATTGCTGCATTCACTTACTTTTGCAGCACTAAATTTTTGCCGCACTCAAAAATTCCAACCATGTTGACAACGGCAACAAGTAATGATATTAACTTACGACTATGATCAGATGGTGCAAAGTTTCCCATTTTGTTCAACGCTTGGATTTAACCAAACCTCAAACTTGTTGTATAGTGGGCTGCACTTTACTTTAGGTCCTACACTCATTCGAATGAAAATACCGATCGATATATTGATTAATAGGTTGTTTCATTCGATATATCGTTTGGTTAGTTAGGTAAGGTTAACCTAACCTAACTAACCAAACGATATAGGTATCGAATGAAACAATGGAAAATACATATGTTTAATGGATAAAAGAGTCTTAGTACAATGTTAATGCTTGGCTGATAGGCCTACTATGTTCTAGATACAAAATATTTTTTTTTTTAATTCTAAATTGCGGAGGAGTAAAAAGTGAACACGTTAAGAAGTTTGTTTTATAAAATATAAAACTGCAAGTTATAGACCACGGTGATACATTTAGCAGTTAAAACAAGTAAAGTCAGCAGCAGAGGCTTGGTTTTCATTAATACTGCCCAACCCTGCACATTCCACGTGGAACCACTTTTCACAGCTATTACAAGCAACCCACACACCCTCGTCATCGGTAACACATACTACACACAGTTCTGGTAGGGGCGCCGGGTCATCAGGATCATCTTGTTCGTCACATTTGGATCTTTTGTTCTTTTTGCCCTTGCATTTCTTTTCTTGTTCCTTTTTCTTCTCTTTTTCACGCAATATTGGAACAACTACGTACTTGTGCACTTTTTCTTTTCTTTTTTGCAGGTGGAGGTGTTGATTTAAAAAAATCAAGGAAAACCTCTTTCATACTTGGTGTTGAACTGACTGATATTGGAACAGGGCTTGAAGAACAGTTTTCTCCACTTGTACTAGGAACAACATCAATAGGCCTGTCACAGGAGCAGTGGTTGGTCTACTATCGGATGGAATTAGAGAGTTCGGTGTTGTAGGTGATCTTTCATCATTTGTGATGTCATTTAAAACACTTGCAGCTCCTGCAGAAGAAAACGGTTTGTGTCTCTTGAATGCAGGCTTTTCAAGGACATTTCTGTTCAGAGGCCATATACCTGCTGCTTTGAATCCGCTAATGACGTTTGGAGCTTTAAAGCCCTGGATCCAACACTGGTTTAGAAGACGAGGGAATGTGAGTTTGCTGACTTTTTCAAATCGATGCTTCCGCTGCCACTCGTCTAGGATCTTCTTCCATGCTTTCTTTAATGGTCCGTACACACAAACATCTAAAGGCTGTAGTACCTACATCAGACGAATGAGCAGGAAGTCTCAGCAAAACAATGTTGTTTTTAATGGCGCTTTCAAGAAGCTCAATTGAGATATGAGAGCTATGCCCATCAAAAATCAAAACTTTGAACCCTGGAACATTTTGTACTTTTGGTGCAAAGACTTTTAGAAACCAAGAAGCAAAAGGTTTTGCTTCCATCCATCCACTGTCAATGCAGGAATACGTGGCTCCAGGATGACCTCCTTCGGTCCAAAGGACATTCATTTTTTTTGGCCTTGCACAGTAGAAATAGTGGCCAGATCTTACCTGCTGCAGAACAGCATCCCAAAATGGAAATCTGCCCTCGACCGGATCCTCCAATCCCACTATATATTCTAGAGCCTTTTTTGGCAAGTACATATCCGGCAGAAGGGTCAGTAGCCATCCCAGTCTTTTCACAATTGTGAACTTGTTCTGGTTGAGTAATATTGTACTTCCTGAATGTGTCTTCCAGGCAGTCCCATCCACTTTTCACCTACTTCCTCTGTTCTAGCTAGGCTTGTAATTCTAGCTACAGATAAGTTTTCAGACTTACTCACTACAATTTTTTCATGTCTGGACAAAAAACCAGACAACTAGTCATAACCAAGTTTTCCATGTCCCCGACCTTTCTTTTCTAAATAATCTTCTACCATACTTTATGATGTCTTGTCTTTTCAGAGCCCATCCCCATTCAGCACATAACAAAATCCCTTCTTCGAGCTTGTTTTCTTCCTTTTCACTAAGAAATGTTGTTCTTCCAACACCAGAGGTCACAGGGCATAAGTAATTGACTCTTCTTAATAAAGAATGGTAGCTAACACCATAAGCTTGAGCTGCTTGTCTAATTGAGGTTGTTTTGTTTTACAGCCTCATTGGCTTGTATCATTTCTTCGCTGTTTTTGTAGCTCTTCCGACCTCCTTCCCCAACAGCCTTCTTCTTATATTTCCTGGACATGATCCCTGAAAGAAAAATAGTAAGCTCTGGCAATGAAATAAATATAAATATAACCTAACTTAATTAAACTACACAATAATTGCCTAATGTCAATGGAATCAGATTCAATATCTTGGTTGCTTATTACCCCATTTTGCCATGGTGCTAATTAGGTACCCTTGAAGCATGCTTTTATAAAGCACAGTTAAAACCTAAATAAATATAAGTACACTTACATCTTATGGTATAAATAAGTAGATTTCCAACTTAAGTTTAATATGAATATAGATTGATGGCAAAAAACAATAACTTAATTCCTGGCTTACCTTCCAAAATTGTTATTTTGTCCAACCCTTTGACTCCTTCGCAGTGTAGAACTGGCTTAACCTCTTGTCTGGTGAAGAATGAACTTCCAACTGATCAAACTGGTGGGAAACATCCTGCTAAATGGAGGGAAACCACTCCCCTCTACAGCTGAATTATAACCTTAACACTAGCAGTAGGAAAAAAATCTAAAATTAATTGGCGCTTATTACCCCGTGTGCTTATTACCCCAGTCTACCCTAGGGTTTAAAGGACTATTATTTAAATGCTTTATAGTAACTTTAGAAAAAATATAGGCCTAGATGTGTAACGCGAGTGTAAAGTGCCTTTGCTGCACTTGAGAAACTTTCCACACTCGCCTGCGGCTCATGCGTAAACATTTCTCTCATGTGCAGATAAGTGTCACTTTTCAAACTAGTTACACAAATAACTATATTCAGCTGGTCTTTTTCTTTGCGAGAGTTCCTTAAAAGTTTGGATTTAACTTTTTTTATAGTTTGTAGTAGTTTGTAGTTTGTTGTCATAGTACCTGGGGTCCAAGCATTGCTTCTTTAGTAAAATAATTTCTTTATGTAGTCAAATAGTTATATAGTATGAGAGCAGTCTTTGCTCAAAGTCGTTTATCCAAATCTTCTTTCATAATCTTTAATCTGTTATAATATGTAGGGGACACTCATCCTACACTCATCTCCAATAATACTTTGCTTAAAATACCTACATTCGTATGGTCGCCATTTCAAAGTAAAGTAACTTATTAAAGTAGTATACTGTAATTTACTTTATTTACGTAACAGTTATGATTCTTTTCTACTTTATATAGGCCTACCTCCTTTTCATCAACAACCTCCCATCAATTGTTCAAAGGGTGAAATATGTCTTTTTGCTGAGAACACCTCTCTCTTGCTATCTCCAGCCCAAGCCCACTTGAACTAGACATAAATAATGCGTTTATAAAAGCCAGTTGCTTGTTGCAGTGTTTTAATGAAAATCTCCTCAAAACCAATCCAACAAAAACCCAGCTTGTTGGATTTTCAATTAGAAAAACCGAAAACAAACAAAATTTTATTTTGGAAGACAGTGAAACCGAAACCACTGCTCAAATAGAATTCCTGTGTTTGTTGATGGACAAGAACCTATGTTTCAAACCCCACATTGATTCTGTTTGTAGAAAGATCAGTTCAGAAATTTCCTTCTGTGTCACTAGCAACATTTTCAAGTATGCTGTTGCACTATGGGGTGGTGAAAGCACAAGAACCCACTTCCTTTTCCGCCTTCAAAGAGAGCTATCAGAATAATTCACTGCCTTCACTACAAACATACTTGTAGAGCTGTATTTAAATCATCCGCAGTTCTAACATTTCCCTGTAAATACATTCTGGAATTCCTCACGTTTCTAAAGTCAATGTATTCTCATTTTCACACAACAACAACCCACTCATATCTGCTTTGTAATAATTTCAATCTGAGAATTCCAGCTCATTCAACTACCCTTTTTGAAAGGCATCTAACTTAAAATGCCATTAAACTGTTCAATGCTCTCTATCTTCAAATCAAGTCCATGCCAGACCTGGGATGCTTCAAACGGTGCTTCATAGTCATTTCTCCTGGGTAAGGACACCTACAGTCTCCGCACATTTCTCGCTGACTGACAGAACTCATGAATTTGATTTATATTTAATATGTTAATTAATAGTTAGTCTTAGTGAAGTTGACGTGGCTAATGCATGTAAGTTATATTGTAAATCTAGCTAAAGCAACGAGTTATTGAATAAATTATTAAAATACAACAATAAAATAAAATGCATAGTATAATGTATTTTACACCAAACTATGATGTTTTTGGCTGTATTACATACGTTAATTGGTGGCTGAAAGTTACGTTTTGCTGGCCATGCCAGCTGTCATCGTAATTTGGGGACCGAGCAGGTTTTTACAGCCCGGGGCCGCAAAATCAGCTGTCCGCTTGCATATTAATTACACAAACAGTATCCATAGCATTGAAATAGAATTGTTTTATTTTCACCGTTGCCTAGCAACTGTTTATTGTTATTTTTGCTGATTCTTGAAATTTACTTCATCACATAACCTTAAAGTTGCGTTGACTATCAGTTTACATTATTATTATTGTGAATAGTAGTAGTGTGGTGAAAAATAGTGTTCGTACCACGGACCGAAAATGGTTTTGCAGCTCTCGATCGATTTAAGTTCTCGACTTTGTCTCCAACTTAAATACCCCCACCGCAGCAAACCTGCAGACTTAGCGAATTTCCATCTGCCTGATTGGATTTAAACTAAAATGTCTCCTTAAAAATATCACATTTATTCCCTATTTAAACAGAATTAGTTTAATAAGTACTTAGGTTTGCTGCAACAGGGAGGGTAAAAAAGTTTTTTTTAAATGTAAAATATTAAAAGGTACTGTGGTTTAGTAAGAAATTAATGTATTTTCCAAATTTGATCAAAATATGTTCATAAACAAGCAAACTACAACAGTTGACTTATTCTCCATAAGAATAACATGGGAACTTTAAAATTACAATTTTTTTGAATTTTCTCCGCGACAATTAGGCGCATAATAACGCTTCAATATACTAAATTATTTGTTTTTATAAGCTCTACAAAATGGTATAAAAAGAAATTGTGAAATTTTGTGTTTTTAGGGTCAAAAATGAGAAAAACCTATTTTTACCCCATAAAACCCCCCATAAACCCCCGTTCCCATAGTCCGATCATGCTGGTTCGCGAACTCATTCAAGTTTATCCCGCCTTACACCTTCAAACCAAATTTTATCAAAATTGGACAAAAATTACTCAAGTTATCGCGGATGGACACATATATATATTTATGATACAGGATATATCTAACAATTTCCATCCAAAACAACAAACATTCTTTTAACATATTCAGAAAACCCACAACTACAGACATAGTAATTCCAAAAAATTTGAATCATCCATGGACACACAAAATTGCAACTTTTCATTCATTAATACATAGATTAGTCAACGTTCCTTTAAATAAAGAAAATTACAAGAAAGAAGTCGACACTATAAAATATCTAGCTGAAAAAAAATGGATATAGAAGCAAAATGATTAATAATATGATCAAGAAGAAAATTAAGAAAAGAAATGAATTAAAATCAAACTTAGAAAACAATTCGAAACACAAAGAAGAAAAGAAATTCATGTGCGTCCCATACAACAACAATTTTAACAAAGCAATCAGGAAAACATTTAAACATACCCCAGTAAAATTAAGCTACAGAACAAAAAATAACATTTTTAAAATCATACACAATAAAACCAACAATCCTATAACAAACAATACAGCAAACATATACAATGCATCTGGTATCATTGACTATATATATAGTCAATGCTGGTATCTACAAAATTAAATGTTCTGACTGTGACAACTACTACATTGGACAAACCTATCGAAATTTTAAAATTAGATTCAACGAACATATACAGGCATATAAATCGAAGAACAAAACATCAATGAAATCAAATTTTGCAGATCATTTACTAAAATCCAAACATAAGTTTACTAATATCGAAGAAAACTTAACAATATTAGAAATTGAAAAAGACAGAGAAAAATTGAATGTAAAAGAAGAAATTAATATTTATATGAACTACAAAAATAACAAATCAAATATTTTAAATACAATGATTCCAAAATTGAATAGAATAGAATAGTCAATAGAATAGTCATTTAGAATAGTCATTTATTCAGTCTTTAAACAATACATTATTGTAATTGACATCGTCATTATTATTGTAAAAGATATAAGATGCAATACTTATAATTATTAAAATTTGACATGAAAATTCCAAAATATAGGCTGCCCTTATTGAACATTTAACAGGTTTAAAATAATTTTTTAAAAATAGGCAAACTTAACAAACTTAAATTATGAATAATAGTGGGTCTTTCTTAAAAAGGCTAATGGTTATCACAGGTGTACAATGAACATAGAGGGACAAAATTACTAACATTATCACAGATGGAATATGGTAAAAAAAACATATCAAAATAGTGAACATGAAATTGAATAATCCAATATATGAAACCATAGCAAAATTGAGAAAATATTAATGAAAATAAGTACAACACATCATATAGTATATAAATGAATCAATGAATACAAAATTATGTTACAAGTTAGAAAAGTTTTATAATGTCATATGTTATTTATTTATTTACATATCTTATTTTGATTTTTGTTTACTTTGAAAATGGCCTTAGAGCCAAAACTATAGTCAGTTAATATTTTAATAAATAATTTAACTTGGGTACTAAGTTTATTAATGTTTAATCTTTATTTATATATAGTAGCCCTATTTTTCTATTTTTCATATATATATATATATAAATTTGAACGAATGGTGTTTTTGGCCTCTGGGGACATCAAAATGAAAAAGTAAATCGGTCCCGGGCTTAGGTCTTACCATGAGACCTACGGTAATAGCTACTTCCCTATAGGGAAATTCGCTAAAACTATCTTGAGCCAGCAAAACCTCGTTTTCGGCCCTAGGTACGAAATATACTATTATTGTAAAAAATTGTCTTGTCATATGTTTACTGGTGATGTATCACAATTATGTAAATTTTATGTAATGAATAAACATTTCATTTCATTAGCCTAATAATAAAATACCCCTGCCACAGCAAACCTGCAGACTAAGCGAATTTCCATTTGCCTGATTAGATTAACACTAAAATGTCTCCTTACAAATACCACATTTATTCTCTATTTAAATATAATTAGTTTAACGAGTACTTAAGGTTGTAAACAAAAGGGAGGGTAAAAATATATAGTATATATATGAATTTGAACCGATGGTGTTTTTGGCCTCTAGAGACCTCAAAACGAAAAAGTAAATCGGTCCCGGGTCCAGGTCTTACCACGAGTTCAACAGTAATTGCTTATTCCCTATATGGGAAATTCGCTAAAAGTAGTTCATTGCCAGAGCAAACAAAATAACCAGGTGAAATTCGTAGTACTGTAATCTTAAGTTTTAGGAACACAATTCACTTAACCATAATTTGTTCCAGTTCATGTTGATGACAGTTATTAGAAAAGCTATAAATCATGATACTTTAATTTGATGGCTGAAGAAACATTGCAAGAAAGGCAGGATAATGAATTGGAAGCACTTAAGGTAAATTTTCAAAGTACCGGTATTAGAAAATACAGCTTGTAGAATGCAGAATGTTTGTATAGGTAATAGAATCTATTTTGTCAGTTAACATTGAGCTGCTTATAGCAATGCATTATTGTATCAGCAAGGGTGAAAACTGAAAATTCTTGCCTATGTTAAATATTTGTTTAACATAAGTAGGTATTCAGGGAATATCAATAGACCTAGTATTTTTTATACTTGACTAGGTAATCATTTTGACTAAACAGCCTGTCTACAGTTATATTGAATTCTTCATAAATTTACGGATTCATTACTCTAGCAAAAAAAGTGTGTTTTGTTAGTAAAATATGAATAGCTTAGAATTAGATATTTCAACTTGCCAAGTTTGATCAAAATATATCCATAAACAAGCAAACTACAACATTTTACAATATTCTCCGTAGAAATAATATGGGAATTTTAAATTTACAATTTTTTGAATTATCTCCATTACCAATAACAGTAAAAAAAACTTATTTATTTGTTTTTTTAAGCTCTTTAAAAAGGTGTAGAGATAAATTGGGAAATTTTGTGTTTTGAGGGTCAAAAATTAGAAAAACCATTTCTTACCCCGTAAAACCCCGTTCCCATGGTCCCATCATGCTAGTTCGCAAACTCATTCAAGTTTATCCCGCCTTACACCTTTAAAAAACCAAATTTCATCAAAACCGGAAAAAATTTACTCAAGTTATCGCGTTCACGGACGTATACATATATAAAAATTTGAACGAATGGTGTTTTTGGGCTCTGGGAACATCAAAATGAAAATGTAGGCCTAAATAGGTCCCGGACCTAGGTCTAACCGTGCCACCTACAGTAATAGCTACCCTACTTCCCTATAGGGAAATTCACTAAAATGGAAAGACCTAAGTTCCCATTTATAAACACAATAGGCTATTCCATCAATAATAAAATAAAAATTTAACTACTGGTCTGTTTGATTTAAGCGTTTGACATTTCTATGGTGTTTATTCTTCTCATCCAAAAAACAGGATTAGGCCTACACGTTTTCATTAGAAATCGTCTTTGTCAAATCCTAAAAAAACTTTTTCTAGGTCGCGTCACAGTCTATCAGTCGAGTTTCGGCATGCAAACAATTAGCTAGTTTTCCTTTTTTGTCCTAGGACGCTAGGCACGAGCCCGGGATTGTTTTTCACATTACTTCAGGCTAGACCTAGGGGTTGCAGCATTATTCTATATAAATAAAATTAGAGTTTTGTCTGTACATTGCTCAGAATTAAAAATTTTTAGGTTATTTTTACGTTTTATACATTAAAGAAGCAGAAACAAGTCTTATCTCTATTCCTGTCTGTCTGTCTGTCTTACTGTCTTTCTGTAACACTCAAGATGGCATTTTACGCAATCTTCTCCATGAAAACGAGAGTACCCATCAAGATCTAAGTCATTTTAATGTATTCACTGGATTGGCGAGATCGTCTTTAGCCATTAAAACATCGCCTCACTACTTTGTAAATAAAATTACGGACGTTCAAAAATGCAGTTTTGTGCGATTTTTGCCAAGTTTTCGGCCATTTTTTATCACATAATCATCTATGAAATAACGAACAGCTGTTCGGATCAAGATTATTTTTTTCTAGCTGTCACTGATATGTTTACAAATGTTGTTTACAAATACCGCAATCATTTCCGATCACGTTTTGAAAGCAAATCCCAAACAAAGTGAGGGAGATATGATTTCACAAGTGCAATATTATAGTGTAACCGCAAATTAAATTAAATAACTAGGCATCATCCAGGTCAGGAACCAGAGATTATTTGTGTATGAAATTGTTCTTGAGTTTTGATAACCACAAAGAAGACCTTGAATCAGTGTTGTATAGGACTGGGACACTTATAATGATCGTCGCCAATAGCCTACAAACAAGGTTTCCACTCACTGACGGCGCTTCAATGGCGATTGTGTAAAGTGTAAAGTAAAAAAATGACAACTGCAGTGGGTGATTTTAAGTAATAGAGGTATACGGATGATGCTAAACTCGCTTTTCCAATGTGTCACTTTCTGTTTCTACTCACCGTGTAATGCAATCGCTGGACCATACAGCCAATAGGCCCATAGCCCATCTCTTGGGTACGTACGCCTACCTATTTATTCTATTCATAACAACCTTTTCGATGACGATCCTTGATACCGGTACTTTTCCATGGAATACATGGCCTACCTACTTAATAAATAAAGTTACAAATGTCCAAAAACCCAACACATTTTGTGATTTTTGTCACATTTAACTGACTACTATAAGATCCTCGTGCGTAGAACGGGCACACAGCTAGTCACTTAGATAAAATCCATTTTTGATTTGGCGGAATTTGAACATGGTACCCCAGAGACCAAAGTTCCGCTTTCTAACCAAACCACAGCAAATTATTTAGTAGGCCTTCATTAAATGTATTTTTGTAATGTGTTTTGAATGTGTGTTGTATTGGAAAGACTGTGACACGGCTATATGGTTTGGAAGAAATTTTTGGTTGGATACGACAGTGACGCTTTGTCATCAAAACGTGTAATCCTGTTTTTTGGATCACTAGAATTACTTGGATATTAGTTTGTTGTTAATTCCATAATTGTAACATAATGAGAGTGACAGGCCATATACGGAGAACAGTTGCGGGAGACACCAAGGCCAGATGACCAGTGGCGGCCACTGGACTTTGTTTTGGCCCTGGGACCTCAGCAAGGGAGTATGCCGCAAGAAGCTCACACCTTTGTTCATCTTCATGTCATCTGCTCAGAAAACTACCCCAATGAGTGAGTACTTATATCCTGTTCCCACTAACACATTCCAAGGAGAATACTGGAGAATGTAAAAAAGAATGCATTGCAGTCACCTATCCTTTCAACAGCCATTTGGCCATTCTGAGATATTGGGGGGGGGGGGGGTTAGGTTTTGAGTTATATCTTGAGATTGTAAAAACTATTCCATAGCCTATTATAATAATTTTTCAGTTTATGTTCAAAATATTTGAGTGTCATTTGGTAGTTTTAGAACATTGTCTACATACTTGAGTAACTTAACCCTTCCCGGACTGGCAAAATCGTGACATAGAACAGGGAAAAATTATAGGAGAAAATAAAATTTAATTTTTCTTATTTGTGTTTTGTTATACAAGTATACATCAAATAAACACAATGGAACACTTCATATTGTCAAAATAATTTTTTACTGGTTTTTAATTATGCGGATATATTTGCTACCCGTCCGCGGATAAGTAGAAAAGCAGCGGATATATCTGCCACCCGTCTTTGAAGATATGACCATGACAACGTTGGGTAATAAATAAAGAACAATATGTTAACAATAAATAAAGACAACATAGTGTTGAGCGCCAAACGTCGAGGGGGAGCGTAGGAGTGGTGGTGGGTGCGCGGGAGAGTGGGTGATGCGGGAGAGGGGTAGGCGTTGGAGAGAGGGGGGAGTACGGGAGAGAGCGCAGCCATGGAGAGAGCAGGAAAGTGCTTTGTTGGTACCGCAAAACATCTGGTTACTGCTCAAGCACTTGCCAGTCTGTCTGAAGAGAAGGCAGATATATCCGTCACCCGTCCGGGAAGGGTTAAGTTAGGTAATTTTATAAATTGGGCTTAAGTTAATTTCAAATAAATGGTCAATACTTACTTGCATGTTTGAGCAAGCTATCTTAATAAAACCTTCAAAGTAAGTTACAACTTTAAAAATTAACTAGTTTAATTTTTTGAGTTTTTTTAAATAGATTTAGTTGTGTGATGTTAGTTAGATATATGTCTGTATCTAGTGTTGTGTGTTAGTGCAGTGCCTGTGTGACATTTAAGAAGGACTTGAATAGGTCTTCTTTCAGATAATTAGTGTCATTAAAAGATTTGAAAAGAATAGCAGAAAAAGTCACTTTGTAAAATTTAAATATTTTTCCTTTCAGAATCCCCAAGATGACAGTTGATAAGAGTAAAGGACTTTCAGACAAACAATTGGAAGTTTTACTGAAGACCTTGAAAGAAAAATCAGTAGAATTAAAGGGTGAAGTTATGGTTTTTGAATTAGCATCATTTGTTCAAGTAAGTTAAAAAAAAAAACTGTAGATTTCAATTTTAGTAGTATCTTAACGATTTCTTTTCAACCTCTAGGGGTCTGGTAGAGAGAGAAAAACTTTTCTAGTTCTAATTTGAATGAATGAAACACAGTTTATATCTATATATGTGCAGCACAACTCATTTGTACATATCTTGGAAATACAAATATAATCAATAAAGGAACAACTGAAATACTGTTTATCATCCATCTTGTTACATTTTATAATGGTATAGTGTAAAGCAGCATTACTAAACACATTTAAAAAAAATAATTGTGTATATCTACCTACGCCAGTGGCATTAATAACGTTTTTAGTAAGGGAACAGTCCAACCAACCCTAGTCTTGTGATCTAACGTCTGTATCTAATGTTGACCTGATGCTACAAAGCATAATTAAATCATAGCCCAATGACAAATGGTATTCTTGCTTGGTATCGAACCAGTGACATTTAGATTTGAAGGCAATCTCTATAACCTCTCAGATACCCAGATAAGAGCTCAGTTTTAGCTAGAAGAGAGGTATAAGTTAATTTAAACCTTTAGAATTGTACGTTCAGTTTTGCTAGCAAAAAATTTTAGCCAACTTAAAACAAAAGCTTATTTCCATATCTATTCTGAATGAGATCACCATTTACCATGAACTTTAAAGGGCTATCGGGTGATTATTTTTGCTTAGGCATAGGCCTAAATGATATTTGTGTTAAAAAAAAAAAACTACTATTTTTTTAGGGAATTTCCCTATAGAGAAATGGAATAGGTTAACATAGTTTGTAGCTATTACCGTAGGTGGCATGGTAAGACCTAGGCCCGGGACCGATTTGCTTTTTCATTATGATGTCCCTAGAGGCCAAAAACACAATTTGTCCAAATTTATATATATACTAGCTGACCCGGCGAACTTCGTATCGCCTAAGTTATATGTTTCCCCTAAGACAGGCCGATGGAAAGAAAGTACCGTTACGTTTAATTTTCAAGATGATCTCGTTCGCATCGCTCAATCACGTCCTGGTTGAAGTTCGTTCGCTACGCTCACTCACCTTTGGGTTGGAGCTCGTTCGCTACGCTCACTCACCTTTAGGTTGGAGCTCGTTCGCTGCGCTCACTTGCCTTCAGGTTAGCTCGTTCGCTACGCTAACTCGCCTCCAGGTTGAAGTTCGTTCGCTACGCTCACTCACCTTTGGGTTGGAGCTCGTTCGCTACGCTCACTCACCTTTAGGTTGGAGCTCGTTCGCTGCGCTCACTTGCCTTCAGGTTAGCTCGTTCGCTACGCTAACTCGCCTCCAGGTTGAAGTTCGTTCGCTACGCTCACTCACCTTTTGGTTGGAAATTAGCTGTTGTCATAAATTTAAAAAAAATAGTGCTGCACCCTGTTGGTAATCCTTGTAACTTTAATGCTATTGAACATCATAGAACAGAACCAACTTGTTTAATTGAAACAGCTGTTAAGATTCATTAATTCCATTTCTCATAAGGTTAACATGGGAAACTCCAGAGCCACTGGGGCGGAGCCCTTTTAAGAATTTCGAAACGGGAAATAGTTTACGTCCGATTCGCATACCTACAGAATTTACACACCAAATTTCATAACAATCGGTGAAGTCGTTCCGGAGGAGTTTGCAGACAAACACTGTGACACGAGAATTTTATATATTAGATATATGTCCGAGAACACGATAACTTGAGTAATTTTTGTCCGATTTTGATGAAATTTGGTTTGAAGGTGTAAGGCGAGATAAACTTGAATGGGTTCGCAAACCAGCATGATCGGATCATGTGAACGGGGTTTTATGGAATAAAAAATAACTTTTATAATTTTTGACCCTCTAAACACAAAATTTCCCAATTTTCTCCAGACATTTTTAAAGATTTGAAAAAAAAAATAATTTAGTATATCAAAGAGTTTTTGTACAATTATTGGTTATGGAGAAAATTCAAAATAATTTTATTTTAAAATTCCCATATTGTAAAATGTTGGGAGTTTGTTAGTTTATGGATATATTTTGATCAAACTTGGTAAATTTATTTATTTTATACAAAGTTGTTAATTAGGTACTTTCCTGTTAAAGGGAACATTCATTATTATCAACTAGCTGTTTGCCCGTTCTACGTACGGGAATCTAGTAGTAAGGTAGGAATCTAGTAGGTTTTAATTATATTCAGAACAGGAGTTGGTTTGCATATTTAGTGTGCATTTTTCCAGATATGATGGCAAAACTATAACTGTTAAGGAATACATATAAACCTTCTCAAATACAATATCTGACAGTTTCAAAGCCAAAACGAATGCTTTGCAATTAAATGTCACTTGATCGTGTTAGTCCATATTTTATATCAAACGATGAAAGGAATAGCTTTACAGTATAGATCTATGAGGCATAGCCCTAAGGTAGGCCTGTAATTTAAAGTTACTTTTCACACTGGTTAAAAGTAGTTAAAACACTACCTCAACCTTTATTAACCTCAAACACTACTGTACACTTTATTCGGGTCGAAATTGTTATTAACAATGGTGCTCTTGTCTTTTCCACGAAAAATAAGGACATTATTGCGTTACCAACGGACATACACACACAAATACAAAATTGAGTCCACACAACATTTTTGAGTCCAGACAGAAAACGCTAAAAATTATACAGTAAGTTAAGACATCAATTAAATTTAATAAGCAATAAGGTGCAGTGTTTATAAATAAATAGTGAAAATGAAAATAGTGATGTGTTTGTATGTAAAAATTATTCTTACTGCTACCACCCGTTCTAAGGAAAAGTAGCAGTACCAAAAACCAACGTTTACATTTGAGAAAAGAACTGTAGTACTTACGACTAATTCAAACTGTCCTTCTAATCAAACTGTATTATAGGTGTTAATTAATCTGTTGGCAAATATATAAATAAATAAATACACAGGCCACAAAACATGTAACATGTAACATTAACAACGTAAAGCTTTAAAAACTTACTATGGTTTGCTAAAAAAACTTTCACTTGATGTGGTGCAGTACCGAAGTTATTAATCTCCTTTGGTTTTAAATTTTTTTTTTAAGTTTTCGTAAATCAAGGTTATTTCCCATTAATAGCATTATTTGTAAGCAGCTTTTAATGTTAACATATTAATGGCAGTTTTAAGAAACCACCTTTATCCAAACAAAGGTTTCTCATTTAAAAGATTACGTAATCTCTAAATGATAATCGGTAGGTACATATATCTAGCAAACATTCGGAGGAAATGTGACAAAAAACGCACAAATCTGGGTTTTTGTACGTTTGTAGTTTTATTTCCTAAGTAGGAAAAGTACCGATATCGTTGTCGAAATGTGAGTAAGTAGAAACCAAAAGTGACACATTGGAAAAGCGAGTTTAGCTACATCTGTTAAGTTAAACCACCGTTACGGTACGATCACAGCGAAATCAGACAGATCTTCCAAGATCGCAGCAACATCCACGATCACCCACTGCAGTTGTGATTTTTTACTTTGCACTTTACACAACTGTCCTTGAAGCGCCGTCAATGAGTGGAAATCTTTGTAAGCTACGGTATTGGTGCCGATGATTAAAAAAATGTAAGTTTCCTTGCACTAATACAACACTGATTCACGGTATTTTCCCCGGTTATCAAAACTCAAGAACAATCGTTGCACTTGCGATTAATTAAACCGGTTAAGTAAATGGTTGCGGTATTTGTAAACAACTTTTACTGTAAACATATCAGTGACAGCTAGAAGTGAGAACTAATCCAAACAGCTGATCGTTATTTCATCAAATGTAATAGTAAACGTTAGGAGAAAATTTGACGAAAATCGAACAAGATTGGGTTTTCGATGGTTCGTTATTTTGTTTTCAAAGAAGCGAGGCCATGTTTTTATAGCCAAAGACACTCTCACCAATCCAGTAAATACAGACAAATGATTAGAACCTTGATCGGCATTCTAGTTTTCTAGGAGTAGGCCGCGTAAAATGACATTTTGGCGTTACAGACGCAACCACATAATGTACAAACAAACAGACATACAGACAGAAATTGATATAAGACTCGTTTCGGCTTTCTTAGGCTATGAAACGTAAAAATAACCAAAAACTGCATGATTCTAAGCAACGTACAGACAAATCTGTAATTTTATTTATATATATGATTTCTTTTTGATATATACATATTTTATTTTTTATTCGATATATTGATATTAACATATTGAAACTTATCAGCTGACAACTACGATAAATAAATATTATTGTTCAGTATCAACAAACAATAAATAGTAGTTTACGCAACGATTGTGTAAAGATAGTGTTAACGACACAAGTGCCTTAAAAACTTCTACGAGTGTCGTTAACACTATTTACGTGAGTTGCGTACACTACTTTACCTACGACGGTGTTTTAATTACTAAATTCACTACTCATAACTTCTAAGAGAGGTTATGTTTTTGTTTATAACCTCTAATTGCCACTGACAGTGATGCAACGAAACATTGTATTAAATACTAATTGCACCAATCAACAATGAAATTGGCCTGAACAGCTGATTAGTTGAATTTCGAATCATAACAATTTTGCTTCTCCTCTCTCAATCCTTGAACCTCATTGGTCCATTACCCGTGTTGTTATGAGTAAAACTATGCTGTTATGAGATACTTTTCAATTCTAAGAACTATACTGAAACGGCTACTTTAAAAAACGGTCGTAGGTAAAAGATATTATATTGAATTGAAATGTAACTGTTCTAAGCTAAACTAACTAACCAAACTTGCTGTAACATTTCAAAATTCCGTTTGATAGCCTATTCCCCATATGCCTTTTCTGTTATCAAACGGAATTTTGAAACGGTAACTTAGCCTTCAGCAAGTTTGGTTAGTTATGTTAGGTTAGTTTAGAATAGTTTCATTTCTAATCAAATATATAGGCTATTATTTTTGCCTAAACAAGATCTTAATCCTATTCTCTGATACAAGCTATAACTCAATAACCAGTTATTGAACCGATATAACTGAGACATATTTGCTATGTCTATTTGTCTGTCTGTCTGTAATTTAAATGCGTTTAAATATATTTAATTGGATGTAATATGGATTGTAAAGGAAAAGAAAAATACCGATATATCGAAAAGAAATCATCGATAATAATGAATGTTCCCCTTAACAGGAAAGTACCAAATAATGGATGGTTTGTGCAAGGTTTCTCATCATGACGAATATTTTAAGTATATGGTTTGTGGGGGTGTGACTTGGTTGCAAATTAGCTGTTATCATAAATTAAAAAAAATAATAGTGCTGCACCCTGTTGGTAATCCTTGTAACTTTAATGCTATTGAACATCATAGAACAGAACCAACTTGTTTAATAGAAACAGCTGTTAAGATTCATTAATTCCTTTTAAATGTGAAAAATCATAAGGTTAACATGGGAAACTCCAGAGCCACTGGGGCGGAGCCCAAAAGCCCGATCAGAATTAAAAACTACTTATTTTTTTTATTTAATGCCCAAAGAATCGGTGTACCGAATTTCAGCCTCCTAGGTAAATGGGAAGTGGGAGAATTAGTGATGAGTGAGTGAGTCAGTGAGTCAGTGAGTCAGTGAGGGCTTTGCCTTTTATATATTTACCAGCTGACCCGGCGAACTTCGTATCGCCTAAGTTATAGGTTTCCCCTAAGACAGACCGATGGAAAGAAAGTACCGTTACGTTTAATTTTCAAGATGATCTCGTTCGCATCGCTCAATCACGTCCTGGTTGAAGTTCGTTCGCTACGCTCACTCACCTTTGGGTTGGAGCTCGTTCGCTACGCTCACTCACCTTTAGGTTGGAGCTCGTTCGCTGCGCTCACTTGCCTTCAGGTTAGCTCGTTCGCTACGCTCACTCGCCTCCAGGTTGAAGTTCGTTCGCTACGCTCACTCACCTTTTGGTTGCAAATTAGCTGTTGTCATAAATGTAAAAGAAATAATAGTGCTGCACCCTGTTGGTAATCCTTGTAACTTTAATGCTATTGAACATCATAGAACAGAACCAACTTGTTTAATTGAAACAGCTGTTAAGATTCATTAATTCCATTTCTCATAAGGTTAACATGGGAAACTCCAGAGCCACTGGGGCGGAGCCCTTTTAAGAATTTCGAAACGGGAAATAGTTTACGTCCGATTCGCATACCTACAGAATTTACACACCAAATTTCATAACAATCGGTGAAGTCGTTCCGGAGGAGTTTGCAGACAAACACTGTGACACGAGAATTTTATATATTAGATAGATTTAGATAGCATTAGTAGAAAGTAGGATTTACCAGTTTCATATATATAATAGATTTAATTGTTTTCAGAATTTTTTGCATGATTACAACAAACCTGGTTATCAATCATTATATGATGAAATGTTTTGTCGCCAATTGAAAAAACAGCTAAAGGAAGAGGAACAGAAGAAAGTTTTACAAGATAAAACGGTAAGAATTTAGACATAACCTTTTTACCCCCAGAGTCGTATCTAAAGTATTTTATGGTTACTCCAAGAACAAAGCCCCTAGTTTCTCAAAGTTAAAGCAAAAACATTTGCAGACTTAAATCCCAGGTTATGATATTTTGGAAGTCATAGTTAACATTTAAAATTCTCGTACAAAAACTGTCTATGAGAGAATAATTGGACTGGAACAAATTTAAACTGGTTTGTGGAAGACTAATCTGAAACCTACTATGCAAGGCGGGGATTTACCAGTATTGTCAGGGGAGTATACTATTGGGTCAAGTGGTTTGAAGTGTTATAGTCTTGGCCAAGAGACAGCACTGTACAGTGTACAATAAGGCATTATATCCTTTCTCGGTCAGTTCTGGCCTCAATCATGGGTCATGGGTGTTCATCTAATCGTTGCTCTTTAGGAGAGACCAACCTAAAATAAATGGTAAACCGCCTGTTTGGAATTATGACGGTATTGCTTGATTTTACAGTGTATGAGTTGTGCATATAAAATACTGCGAGTTCTTACTTGATATGTTTTATAGAAAGATTTATATTTATCTGACAATCTCAAATGTATTATTTTGTATTCCTTATGACAAATTAATCTTTTGAATCTTGCCTATCTTGGTGGTCCACCAAAAACTTTTTTATAATAGTTTACATGTGTGGACTTTTCAACATTGCATTATATGATATGTTGGTGACTCTACCTGTCACAACAGACAGCTGCATCTACGCTGACGACATAACAATTTGGAGTTCTAACAAAGACCCAATGCAAGCAACACAGCAAGTGCAAGTCACCTTAAACGCCCTAAATGCATGGACAGAAAAGTGGAACATGTCAATCTCCTCAACAAAAACGGAGTGTGCCTTTTTTACGAGAAGATACTCATTAAAACACTTCATGCCAGAACTACAGTGCAAGGGAAAACCGGTACCCTACAACCCACATCCTACACTTCTAGGAATAACGCTAGACCCCAAACTTTTGTGGAAAGACCACATCCAACAGGTTGCAGGACAGTGCACAAAAAGATTAAACCTACTTAAGGCTGTTGCTAGCAGATCATGGGGAGCCGATTAGTCTTTCAAACACTATACAACACGTTTTTAGGTTCAGCTGGCAACACAAATAGGTGCCCTAGAGAAAGTAGTACCCGGTCCGTATCACTCCGCTATTTTTCCTCGGCAAGAAATGTGCTCCGCGACTTGAGAATATAGTTCCGTATGATTTTGTAATTTGAAGTGGTTTCCGCGCCTAAAAAAAATGCTCTAAAGGTATTTTCTTGTTTATTAAGATCGTATGAATGTTTTAAAATCGTTTAAAGGAAAAGTCCAGAAAGTTCAGAAATACCGAAACGATAAACACAAAATGAGAGGTTGAATCGTAGTTATAATAGTCAATCACCTGCTCATAGTATTATTATCTTTAAGTGTTGCCAACCTATTTCCAAGTATACACGGATTACGTGCATAATAGAACCACGCTGTTTTGTGTTGTTTCGTTGGAATCCTGATGTGCGCCAAAGTATAAACATAAACCGTACCACAAAGTATAAATATGCAGCAATTAGCAGCTTTCTGTACTACAAACAGTACAAGGAAGCCAACTTTATCGGGTGACTGTAGGAAAAATTATTTAGAGGAACTTGTTTGGAATGATTTGTTACAAATTTAATTTAATTTATTACAATAATATGCATTTAATTTATTTCCATTTTTAGTTGAAGTTAAAGTAATATATTATTGTTATTTATTCTAATAGTTTATTTATTTTTGTTACTGTTGAATTTTTACAGGTATTTGTGTCTTTGTTGTCTTTTTTGTTATTAACCACTCAAGAGACAATTAAGGACTCAAAAAACTGCATGCTACTGATTTAAACTGACAAAACTGTATAAGAAACAATATTTTTAGTGCAGACAAACCATTTGTGGTTTTTGCACTTTTGTAACCTATGTATTGGTAATTATTGTGTAAATAAATTTCTTGATTGATTGATTGGAGTTTTTTCTTAGGGTTAGGTTATTACTGGCATGGAAGTGAGAACACAACAGAGTTATAGAACTAACTTTATTTTACAATAAATTATTAGAAAAACTCTTGAACATGAATCATAAGCCCCAAAAACACTAAACTATCTTGTTACTTGGCAACAACTTCCATTAATATTAACTAGTGTCCCTGTTGCTTGAACTCGAGCAATTGCTAAGTATTACAGGCATTATTTTAAAACAAATAACAGTCATAATTTCTGATGACATTACAATATTTGACTCAAAGATTATGGAAATACTCAAGATGTACATCGATATAATCAGATCGATATAATCAACATTTATTGTAAATATCATCTTATAATTTTTCAAAAGCTGATCTTCTTTTTTAGTGTTTTCTACAGTTACTAAAGCCTTACTCATATCCGCATTAGGTTGTCCAAATTCTAAAAAAACATTATTTCTATTTCTTCTCCTTGGTGGTGTTCTATGACTTTCCAATGTTTCCATAGTTTGCAAATCGGCTCTTTCAATGATTACTAAGAAATGCAGAACAGTGTTAATTCAGTTTTCTTTTTAGTACAGTATATCAAATTATCCAGGCTCTCTCGCTTTTTTCAATTGTAATATTTACGCCGACCCAAATTCAAATAGAAAATATTTCATTTCAACCAAGTCGGTAAATGTTTGTAGCAAACTATTAAACTAGCAAACTTATTGACTGTTTACAATTGACATATGTTCTTCTTCTCACTTTAAATTTCTGACAACAGCTGGAGTTTCATAACAATGATTGTTTCCCATGTTAAGCCCTCCATACACGGGCGAGCATGTTTGCGAGCATGCTCGTGACGGTGTTGGTGACGAACATGCTCGCCCGTGTGTGGGATCCGTCGCGGCAAGCATGTTGGGCTCGGCGCTCGGCTCGTCGGACTTGGCGAACCCGGACACGATCATGCTCGCGAACATGCTCGCCCGTGTATGGAGGGCGACCATATGTTCGAGAGCATGTTCGCCGCTGCAACTTGGGTAGAGATAGGCTAAATGATTCCATTGATGTAGCCACTACTATGATTCCAGTTACACTCGTGGACTCATTAGAAGTAACCGTCCCGATTCCAAACAATTACTTCGTTACCGCCATTACAAAGTAGCCGCAATAGACAGATTGCACTTGTAATCATAATGGTGTTGATGTATTCCAGTTGCAGTAATAGATTTAGAATCAATGTTTACAGAAGCTAAATAAATATCTATTTGTGTTTGTAACGCAATAAATACAAATTTATATGAGTTTCCAAAATAGAGGATTCATCAATTAAAATTTGTATATTATTACACAAATGTGTACAACCAATTCTGTAGTAATTTGTCACAATTAAATAGTTCTAAGAAAGGCATGAATAAGCAAAACTACGAGAAATGTTATTGCACAACGATGTAATTTTAACCAACATTATTTTCGAACCATAGCGGATGAATTTAATCTGATAACTTAAGGCCTGGCACACACGGTCTACAAAATCGGCCAAAAATAAATCGCCCCTGATTTATGTCTAAGAAATAATGCGTATGTTGCAAAAAAACTAAATGCTGTAATTGCAGCAAAAAAGCAGGAGTAGGCCAAATACACATAACTTGACCGACACAGATCACAAGAGAAGTAAGAATAGGCCTAGGAACCGCTACCGAGCGACGAGCATGTTCGCGAGCATGCTCGTCCTTCTCTTGGAACCGCCAAGCATGTTCGCGAGCATGCTCGTCCGTCTGTTGACAACGCCGAGCATGTTCGCGAACATGCTCGTCCGTGTATGGGGGGCTTTAATCTTATGGAGAAATATGAAACTTTAAAGGGTACCAGGACCTCACTCCCTGATTATTTCCCTAACAAGAAAGTTTCCTGCACAACTTCACGTCAAGCTCTTTCCAATGACACATTCTCTTTCCATTGACATGTCAATCGGCTCAGTAGTTTCGGAGGAGTAATTGTCACAAAAAACTTGCGTATTAAATAAGTAATAGATATAGATTTAAATTAAAATTCCAAACAAATGTTATTGTACAGACCAAATATAAAAAAATATTTCTCGACACCCTCTATTAATTTTTATATTTTTACAAATTAAAATTTAAACCATAAAATAAACACTTTGACCATGGAAAATGTTGAGAACATATTTTCATGGACTAAGTGTTTCTTTTATCGTTTAAAATTTAATTTGTAAAAGTGTAAAAATTACGAGAGGGTGTCTAGAAATAATTTTTTTACTAACATATGTTTGTAATTTAAAATTTTGGTATCCCTTTCCTTTGTTGCAGTTACTTTTGAAAGCTACCGTATCCTCAGTGTCACTGTTTTTACGTCTCTTTTCCTCTGCTAGTAACCCTGAAGTTAAATTTGACAAGGTTCTATCTGTTTTAGCTGTAGACTCCTAGGCTGTTACGAAAAGGTTTGAACTTATCTGGCAAGGATGCCAAAGTCATAGACATCAACATGTCATCGTCAATGTTTTGAATTAAACTTTTCAATTTAATTGCTATGTTTTGCTAGCTAGCAATGAAACTAGTCACATCTGAATTTTGTTCTAGTTTAAAATTGAAAAACTCTTGTAGTAAGTTACTTTTTTGTTGTTCAGCCTGTCTTTCGAATATTTGGCATAGCTTAGTATACATAGCTAGTGAAGTCTCATCATTCTAAATGTGAACCAAATACTTTTTGTCTATGGATGTAACAATAAGTGTTTGTGCTGTTGCGTCTTCTTCTTCCACTTTGTCCTTTTATCTTCAGTTTCTTGGTCTTCATACTTTTCTTTTCCTGTTACTTTTCTTGTCCTGTTATATGACATGTGATTTTAAATAACTGTTGTTTGCATTTTTATTTCTGAAAACAGCTGGTATTCATGAAACAAACGAGATAAATAGATCTTGTAACGCACTGAAGTAATAAACTTTTACTTTATTACTTTATTACCTCAGGGTCTCGTATAAAAAATATTTGCTTCTAGCGCCACAGGAGGCACATCAACTTAGTAGTCTAACATCAACAGAGAGCGCTAGGGTTATTCGTTGATATGTTGCAAGCTAACCTAAAAATTGCATTTTAGTGTGGTGAACTGTGTGTATACTGTTTAATGAGTTTTTTTTAAGTTTGTTGTCGTCTGACGAGGACAACCCTGATGACTCTCAAGTCCCTGACAATCCTGCTAAGGTGTACAATATGCATAAACGACCAAAACTGATTGTTGTGAATGCCAGCAATAGTGCTTTCTTGGAACAACTGGTTACAGAAGGATTAGATGGGCCGGTCCCTAGTAGTGCATTATCCGAAAGTAGTGACGATTAGCAGGAACTATGTGATTTCACAACACAGCCCCTATGCCTAATTAACAACATGCCAGTTTTTTTGTTTTGATTTAACCTCAAAATTTGACACATATGAACACATTATCGCACTACAGCCAAATAGGTTCATCTTCAAAGATATTCCACCACACCTTAACCCCTTCTAGCTAAAAAAATCCAGCTGTAAGTAAATGCAGCAATTAGCTACTTTGCGTGCTATAATCAGTGCAAGGAAGCCCACTTTGTCAGGTAACTGTAGGAAAAAGTAATGTTGAGTTATTAAACACTTCATTATGTGTTAAGCCTGTGGTGCAGAATAAATCTTACATACATCTTAATTATTGGTCGATGTTATTTCAGAGACAAGAAGTGCTTATGGAAATTCAGTACAAAAAAGAAGCATTAAAACAGGAACTCAAGGGACGTAAAAATTCAGAAATTCTTATGGAAGAGGAGGATGATTTTATTGCCAGGTTTGGCTGTTTCTTTTAATTATTTTCTTTATCATAGAATTCGGTAATATATTGAAAATGTATCCTGTTTTAATAGATTAAAAATTTGTTCTTAGATAACATTATTTAAAAATTAAATTTTTATTAAAAATTGCTAATTTTGGGCTCTTTTACATAAGGTAGTCAAGTATATTATGTGTTTCATTAGAATGTACTGTACCAAAGAATCAGAAGTTAGTTCCACTTTTGTCAACTACCATTTTCAGTCTTATCCGCCAGTGGGACCAGCCATTGGGAAAGCGGGGATTGAGCCCTGCATTTTTGAATTTTCATGACAGTGAACAAGTCTTTTAACTAAGTATGTTTTGTATGGGATCAGGAAAATCAGAACAGTTATGAACAGCATAGAGCTTAATTCATTATTAAATTCTGTTGTTTCTCTTTTTACGTAATTGTATGTAGTTGTTATTACAGAAAATTATCACTGGTGTTGCTGTAATGATAGGAGATGATCATTGGTGTTTGCCATGATTCTGATGTAAATCAGTAATCGAAATTACAAGTTTTAAGGTGGATTAAAAATAAAGTATATGGTTGTGAAAATCGGATGATATTTCCTTTGACACGATGGTTTCAGAATAAAAACGCTAAGATGCAAATTAAATTAAACTAGAGGACCCATGCTGCTCCGCAGCGTTCAAATAAATATAATATCTGAGAAATAATCAAATTTCTGATATCTGATTGAGTAATCCAGTATCTTGAGCTTAACTGATTAAAATGATCAATAGCTCAAATTAAAGCCTATAATTAACTGATTATTTTAAGTCTAAAATATATAAAAAAACAAAAACAATGCTGGAGAGATTGATAATCATAGAAAAACCTTATGAAAAATAATTTTTATGTTGGTTGTTCACCTTGCGTTTGCTTGAAACTCGTCTGATTTGATTCTAAAAGCTTAAATGAAAACAGGTATTTCACTGAAGGTTCTTAGACCAAAATATATAGGATTATATAATTACTAGCTGTAACCCGCGGGCTTTGCCCCGTTTAACTTCTTAATTTTCAAAATTATCTCGTTCGCATGGCTCAATCACGTCCTGGTTGAAGTTTGTTCGCTACGCTCACTCACCTTTAGGTTGGAGCTCGTTCGCTACGCTCACTCACCTTTAGGTTGGAGCTCGTTCGCTACGCTCACTCACCTTTGGGTTGGAGCTCGTTCGCTGTGCTCACTTGCCTTCAGGTTAGCTCGTTCGCTACGCTAACTCGCCTCCAGGTTGAAGTTCGTTCGCTACGCTCACTCACCTTTTGGTTACAAATTAGCTGTTGTCAGAAATGTAAAAGAAATAATAGTGCCGCACCCTGTTGGTAATCCTTGTAACTTTAAAGCTATTGAACATCATAGAACAGAACCAACTTGTTTAATTGAAACAGCTGTTAATATTCGATAATTCCATTTCTCATAAGGTTAACATGGGAAACTGCAGAGCCACTGGGGCGGAGCCCGAAAGGATTTTTGAAATAAGAATATGCCTATATGTTAATCGGGTATGTGAGCTATCATCATGCCAAATTTCAGCCCAATCCGACCAGTATTTTTCGCGTTCACTTGTCACAAACATACATCCATACATCCATACATCCATACATCCAAACTTTCTCATTTATAATATTAGTAGGATAACTGGTGAAATACATCTTAAATTGAAGTAAGAATTCAAAAATGAATCAAAATATTTTTTTTTTGTCGAGTAATACAGTAGGTAAATATATGCCGAAGATTGATGGCAAATATGTGCGTGCATACCTTCAATTTGAGACCACAATCATGAAAATCGGTCGGGTAAAAGAGCCAAACGATCCCGGAAACGGAAAATCAAATTTAACTCTCATAAGAAATACATGGGGAGAAAATTTTGTTTACATATAAGCCAAGTGGTATTATAGATAAATATATGCTGATGCTTGATGGAAAATTTGTGCGTGCATACCTTTAATTCGAGACCCCAATCATGAAAATCGGTTATGTAGAAGAGCCAAACGAACTCGGCAAAGAAAACCCAAATTTAACTCCCATAAGAAATACATGGGGAGCAAATTTCGTTTACGTATAAGCCGAGTGGGATTATAGATAAATATATACCGATGCTTGATGACAAATCTGTGCGTGCATAGCTTTAATTTGAGACCTCAATCATGAAAATCGGTTGGGTAGAAGAGCCAAACGAACTCGGTAAAGAAAACCCAAATTTAACTCCCATAAGAAATACATGGGGAGCAAATTTCGATTATGTATAAGTCGAGTGGGATTATAGATAAATACATACCGATGCTTGATGGCACATCTGTGCGTGCACGCACAGCTTCAATTTGAGACCTCAATCATGAAAATCGGTCGGGTAGAAGAGCCAAACGAACTCGGCAAAGAAAACCCAAATTTAACTCCCATAAGAAATACATGGGGAGCAAATTTCGTTTAAGTATAAGCCGAGTGGGATTATAGATAAATATATACCGATGCTTGATGGCATATCTGTGCGTGCATAGCTTCAATTTGAGACCTCAATCATGAAAATCGGTCGGGTAGAAGTGTCAAACGAACTCGGAAAAGAAAAACAAAGTTTTTTAAATATATAAGAAACCGATCATCTAACTTGTGTTATGTTGTATCAGTTAATATCATGTTATATGTTCAGGTTTGAACAAGACCATCAGCCAGTTCCAAGGAAATCTTTGATAACTGCGGACTTGTTGGAAAGTGTTGATAGTAATGGGGTAAGTATTGCAAAAACATTACCCATGATAGAGTAAATAGGATGGCTATTAATAAAGGGTGATTTTTTTATTGGTGCGGTTGATTGATTGATTGATTCTGTAGGGGCGGACCTTGTCCTGTTGCATGTCAGCCACTGATGGGCTTTTCGCGCTCCCCACATGGTACTTCAGAGTCCGTCAAACATGAGTTGCTTGGATAAGTTAACTATTGGTGCGGTTTTTAAAACTAAATAAAAAAATGAAAAACAACCTGCATTGACATAAAAATGCATTTATTTGAACTACAGTGTCATGACATTAACGTTTAAAAATGATTTCTGGCATATGGGCTCCATTCCGTTCGCGTAGAAAGCCCAATCGAGAAGTCCAATTTTCGAATACACTTTCCAGCAGCTGTGGTTGAATTCCGCCAATAACTCGACGAATGTTAGCTTCCAAGTCATATAAATCCTAAGATTTATTGTTATGATAAACACAAAATCCCAACTTCAGTTCAACCTAGTTTAACTATCAGTTTAAATAAATTGGTGTAAATACCTGCTTCTATGTAATCCAAATTGTTGCAAATAGTTGAAATATGATTTCTGAGAGCTCATTTTGGTATCTCATGTGTATGTGTTCTGTATAAGTTGGTTGTCATGGATACCAGATGATGTTTGTTGAAAGTTATGTTGTGTTTTTGTACCAAGTAAAACTTGTACCTAATAATACACTTTTCTCTTTATTATTCTACACAATTAAAATCCTTTTACAACAGGTTATGGGCCCAGGTTGTTTTATTCAGTGGTTCATTTAACGAATACCAACTTCAGAAGTTTGTAACAACGATATGACTCAAATTCATTACCAATTGAACGACTTAACACATTGACTGCTACTGAAATATGGATAAACGTACCCAAGTGCTGAAATTACTTTAGTGATTATTTTCATAGATTACACCACAGGAATGTTAAATATAATTATCTAAATTGGTTTCCATGGCAAACAAACTTTTTTTATGACGTCATAAGATTGAGCGGGAATTCCCGCGCTCAGCATTTGGGCAAGGTATTACAAAAATAATTACACTATTATTGCTGTAAACACATACCTTTTACATATAATGAAGAAATATAATGTCCCAGTGTGAGATTGGCGACTTGATGACACTCAGTAGCTACGAATAGTGACGTCACTTTGTGCGGGAATTCCCGCGCTCCAGCAACGATGTTGGTGATAAGTCATTATGTATTATTTTTGGTTTTGAAAGCAATAAAAATCAATGTTTTGCACTAAAAGTATTACAAAAGAAAACTTAAAAATATTTATTTACAAATATATACAACCCTTCCACCCTCCTTCAATAGTCTCAATTTTACTGTAAGTGTGCATGGTGCTTGTCAAAGCAAGCTAACGCACACAACGGAGGCTCCCCTTCACATTGGCCACACATATACACTGTTTCTTTACGTCGTCCTTCTTTCAGGCACTGACGGCATCTTTTTCCAAGCAGACGTCCTTTTTTATCTAGTTTGGTCGTCTTGGATAGAACATGAAGGGGGTTGCGAGGAGGCCGTTGTGGTGGAGGCACATCTTTGGGAGGCAAGAGCGCTTCAATAACTCTGAGACGAAAATCATACAGCTGCAACGTGTTGTCTTCGTTGGCGACGTTGTATAGCTTGTGCGCATTTACCATGATCATCTGGATAACACAATGAATGAACACAATGGACAATACACAATGGACACACACAACACAACACAATGGATAACACAATGGATGAATATTTTCTTGTACCACCGCAAAGATTTGTGATCACTGGGGTAGTAGGAGAGCATTTGATCACTCCTATCTACCCCTTTCATATTGGCATTGTACTGAACAATTGCCAACGGTTTCTCTCGTTGGACATTACGTCGATTAGACGACATAACCATCGTATTGTCATGCTCCGTGGAGAGGAAAGAGACAACTCGTTTGTCCTTCCACTTAGCGACCATGACACCTTCAGCATACCGAGCGACTGTCTCTCCTTTTTTCAACTTGGCAGCTTTGATGTCTTCTGGGAGATACTTCCGGTCCATTCGAAGGGTTCCGGTGCAGTAAGTCTTTTTGGACAAGAGCTTTGAAGCAAGCGGAAAGCTGTTGTAAAAGTTGTCCATATAGAGTGCGTGTCCGACATTCAACTTTCCTTTCATAAGGTGCATCACGACTTTTATGGCATGTCCTTTACCTCCTAGCTGTCCTTGACCTCCAGAGTAGATAGTAAAACGAACCACAAGGCCGTTAGGTTCACAAAGGATTATAGCTTTATGCCGTATTTGTGGCATTTCCCTTTGATGTACTGTCGGAACAGTAAACGCCCCCTCCAGAGCACCATTCCCTCATCAAGTGACAACTCTCTACAAGGGTAGTATATTTCGTCCATCTTGTTGTTGAAATAGTCTATCAACATTTGAACTTTTATAAGTTTGTTGTCCGTTCCCTCGTTCCTGCCATCATTTTCCTCTGCGTTTCTATTGAAGTGAAGACACCGCAAAATCAGTAGGAATCTGTCCCTGCTCATTTGGTCCCGAAAACACTTTAGGTCAAACAAATATTGTGTTTTCCAGTAATCTTGGTATCGATTCAGTCTGATCGTTCCCATGTGTAAGATTAGGCCTATAAACACTTTCAGTTCATCAATTCTTAGTTCTTTCCACTTATTTATGCGTGAATGTTCAGTCAAACTAGGTTTATTGAACACCTCAAACGCATAAATGTTTGTTTCGCAAACAATATTTTCTAGCAAAATATCATCTAACATCATTAGGAACCAATCGATAGGTTTATTTTGACCTGGAACAGGTATCTTAAATCGGTTTTCACCTTCAAACCCAAATCTTCTAAACCCTTGAGTAAAAGGGGACCACGTGGGGTTGTATGATTCATCTATTTCGTCATCTGACTCACTCTCCTCACCACTCAGTTCAGCGTCACTGTCGTCATAGGCTTCATCATCACTGTCACTCGGAAAGTTTATACTTTGCCTAGATGTAGAGGCAGCCATTTTCCACTCAATTGCAATGAAAAATAAAGAACTATGTAAAGTTAAATGTATAACTTCGGTGGGAAAATCACACTCAAAACAACGCACTACCGAAAAATATAAAAAGGCGCCAACCGAAAACTGAGACCACGCGGGTTTGAGGTTAGGTCCAATACACAGTGCTACGCACGGCAGAACGTTCCCGGGGCAGTGCTAGCCGGTTACTGAATCATCCAACAATCAAAACACCAAGCGCGGGAAGTCCCGCGCGCAGCCCCGCGGCGCAGGTTGGGCGTGCGGGATTTCCCGCGCGTAGCGCGCAATGTGTTAAAGGTTGTGAGAATTTTAATACATGGAAGTTTGCACTACAAGCTTACCTGGAAGATTTGGATTTGTGGGACTGTGTATCTGGTGTAGAAAAGGATAAGAAAAAGGACACTAAATGTCGGTCAAAGCTGATCTTATTGCATTATGTTAAGCCTCCGAATCACTTTAGTTAATTAAAAATGGTTTAAATACCTTAACTGTCAGGTGATCCTTGGAGTAGTTTACACTACTGCAGTTTCAGCCTTCAGGGGGCTTTCTTCAGGTGTCAAAGGAGGTCAAACGTTGTCATTCATACGAATTCGTCACATTTAAACTACGAGAACACAAATACGAATACCGACACGAACACGAACATAAAAAACGAATACACACGTAAGAGTCACAAACATTTCCCATGGGTTGATTTATGTGCGACGCGTGCGAGGAGCTAGCCTAGACTAGCGTTATCAAGGTTGCAGTCCGTTGTCCACCCCCTCCCTTATCTTTTGTTGATGATAGTGGAGCCGACCGTTCTGCCAACTTTAATGCTGATTCATATATAATGTTCGATTTGAAACCTCTTTGTTCATTTAATACATTCTGGGGTTCTTTTTTGACGGCCTTATATATTTCAAACTCTTCCATAGTGTCCATGAATCGGCCTTTATTGCACTTATGGAGAATTTCGAGATTGTCGTGAATGGCGGAGTAACTGTGGTTATTATCAATTAAATGGTTGGCGTAGGAAGATGTAGATTTAGTATTATGTTTGCCTGGTAAATGTTCTTTAAATCTGATGTTAAAAGATCTGGCAGTTTGACCAATATAAAAGCTGGGGCAGCTGCTACAATTTAATTTATAAACTCCTGTTTTTTGCATGATATTTGTGTTATTGGAGGGATTCTTACTGTCCTTTAATATGTTAGCAAGTCTGTCTGATGTTTTGAAGGAAACAGTGATATTATTCTTTGAGAGCTCACGCTGTACTGTGTTATTCAATACATGACCATACTCGATAGCAACATACTGCTGTTCTGGCTTATGGGTTCTGTTTTCCCTATGTAACTGTTTATAAATCAGCCGGTCGACCATCTCGATCTTTATGTCTACACACGGCCGCGAGGGATGATCAGAATATTGCCACGATCACGGTAGAAGATGATAATGTCCACACGACCACGGGAAACACGAAGAATTCTGCCGCAATCGTGAAAGACGATGATGATCTCCAAACGACTGCGGGACATGATTAACATTTTGCCGCAATCGCGGGAGACGATTACGATGTCTACACGGCTGCGAGGGATTATCAGAAGTTTACCGCCATCACAAGCAAATACAACCACCAATCTTTTTTATTTTCCAAAATTTTGGCGCCCCAAAAAAAACACCAATTGCCTCGCGCCCTAGGCAAGTGCCTACCGTGCCTATTCGGTAAATCGGCCCTGGAATCTTCAGTCAATAAAGTCACGGCGGATGCAATAAAAACAAAGTTATTGGAAGATGTGTCTCCAGTACAACGTGATATGACTTTTGCAGGAACGGATTCTGCATTGTATGGTTCCAGTTCGAGAGGGACTTCATGTATGCTCAACGTGTGGATCCAACCGACGCGCGGGTCATCTATCGGAGATCTCAAGACGCTCTCCATTGTCGAAGGCACTATTTGTGATATTTAGTTGT